GAATTTGAAAAAAGTTCTACATGTTTCCACCAAAAAAAGGAATGTGAAAATCGCTTATAAAAGAATTTCAAGAGTTATAAAAATAACTACAGAAGCAAGGACAATGTTGCATCCCTTATTGGGATAATAATATTTTGAAATGTAAGGATCAATCTCTGTTGATGTAAAATTAATCCACTACTCAAAGTGGTCCTAAAAAATGAGGAAAATATACCATAATAAAGATTGTATAACACACAACAAAATTTACTCAAACATCTTTTAAATACAAGAATTAAAAAGATATTAGGATGATAAAAGCTCTTATATAATCAATTAAAGTAGAACCATAAAAAGGAATGTTAACCTTCAAGCTGGTAATTGTAACAAACCGAATAAATCTCATGAGTTTTGAGGAAATAATCAAAGGACCACAAATGACTAGGGGGAGGGAGGGAGAATTATTCTCACCACAACAATCAATGGAATTATGACTAAAGATTGTTGTTTTGCAACATCTCATCTCAGACAAATACCTTTCCAATAGGGTTCATCTTTAGAAATTAGGGGTTTTGTTTGATACACTCAACTCAGAATTCTCAACTAGTTTGACATCCACACCACTACCCTGCAGCAATGAGTGCCTGAAATGGTTCTGGATGACTAATTGCTTCAAATATACTAACCACGTAAAAAGTATGGATAAATAGATTAAGCAATTTAATAACTACAAAAATCATAATAATCAACCATGAAAACTTGACTCTCTCATACAATTAACATCCAAATATTAACTTCCTAAGGCACTTCTCTATTAAAATTGATCCTGTTCATCCAAACATACTTTTGTATAAGTCAATTGCTATTATTAAAATGTTAAAACTTCCCCAACCATGTTAAAGAGTATAGGTAAACAGATTAAGCAATTCATGTACAACTTGCTCAGCTCAACCTCAAGTAGGCTGGCCTGACCAAGATCAAGCAAATTTTATGGCATTATATGGATTTTCACCTTTTTTAGTTACTATTATTAAAATGATAAAATCCTACCCTCCCCTCCCCTGCTACGCTCATTTTTTCACCTCTAATCCCCCAGTTGGGTTGCCTAAGTTGAGACGGAAACAACCCCAACATTAATGACACCATTGCTTTAGTTGTAAATTGATAATAACTACTTCATCTTTGATTTCAAGTTTCAATAGAAAGCATCATAGAAATATCAAACATCTTTATCAACAAAAATTATCAAATTTCAAAAAAAAAATCAGAATAAGAAGAAAATAGTAGGAGACCCAATAAAAAAATAATAAAAAAACTTCAAGATAGAGAACCTGGGTTTAGGTTGGTGATTCCAGTGAAAACAGAGTGGAACTCCTCTGTCAGAGGTCCACACGTCAACAATGCTTGGGTGAGCATGGTGCTTCTAGTCTAGTACGGCCATTGTCAGTTTGATTTAGGTAAATAATAATGGAAAATCAAAAAAAAAAAAAAAATTTGCAGAGACAGTGATGAAAAGAATTGTCACCTCTTTAACATTCATTTCGACATATTCTCTACACAGCATCTCCCTTCGAGCTTTTTCCCATCACCCACTATCCACTTACTCGCCTTAATCTTCATAATCCAATGACTTTGCTGTTTCTTTTAGATCTAATTGTCTGGGGAAAATGTGATTCAAGTACGGTAAGAGAAGTAGAGAGAATAGGAGAAAGGGGGTGTCACGCCCCAGAACCCAAATTAGGGACGTGGCAGACGCTGTGCACTCGTGAGATGGGTCTCACAAATGCACAAGGCTCGGAACTTAATCATATTGTACTCTGATACCATCAAAATCTGAAAATCAAATCTTTAAAATTTGCTCCGATATCATAGATCTCCAAATACACTCTAGCTTACAAGATCATGATTTATTTCGAAAATCTATATCAATCTCGAAATGGCTAGCTTTCTAACTCGTCACTTCCCGTGGTTTCCCCGTCCTCGGTTTCATTTCCTGAAATGGTGGACAAGGAAACTATGAGATAAACTCAGTAAGTAAATATGGAGTGCCCCTTATCAAACTTAAAGCATGCCAACAAGTACAATCACAAAAACAGATACAGTACGGGCACGAAATAGACGTCTCCTCTAAAGGTCACGGCCAGTGTATAATCCCCACTAGCAGGGCCACGATTTGCTGGTGTATAACCCCCACTAGCTGGGTTGAACGAACCGGCTCTATCACTAACATGTCGACATGTGCTAGCGTTTGTAACCTCCCCCACTAGCAGGGTCACGAATAACATGACCACATCGGAGACAAAACA